AGGAAGTTCCATAACTTAAGTATGTGAGATAGAGGAATACTGGGAACACAGTTTCAGTGAAAGTATTGGTTACAAACTAATCTTCATAACAACCTTCAGAAGTACAAACTGTTCAGGAAGCAGGTAACAGTGAGTAACTAGAAACTGTCTGTTACAAAATTTGTCAATAGCTATTATTCTTGAAGGAATAGTTGATCATAGAGCTATTTCATAGTAAGTTTTTTTCTATAGTTCAGCATGATAAGATAGATCTTTGTCTGGCTTTTTTCCATTGTGGTGGGTTGAATGCATTTTCCTCAGTCCAAGCAGCATAGAACTGTTGGTATTGTTTTGGATGCTCTTTGGAAACAGAAACTTAGAACGTTATCTGTTTTGTTTAGGTATCTTCCATTACTCTTACAGAAATGATTTGAAGATAATTCTGTAACTGATCTTGGTGTGAATAAGGTAGTAATGACATTGCAAAATTCTTAATCTGCTTATTTCCATAGACCAGGAATGACTTTGGCCTTACTCAATTCTATTCTGTTTCTCTGTTGTCTGCTTCAGGGGAGGCTTTCTGATAATTTATGCAAGACAGCATATGTATGTTCCCCCATTTGAAAATCAAGCTCTTTACACAGAAATATGTGTGCTCACATAGCTGATGTGCAACAAGAAAGCTGATATACATCTTAATTCCTGCAGTAGAAAGGGTCAGGGCTTGCTTTTATGTTCCAAAATCTTTGGGAAGGAGCTGTTCTAAGAAGGGACAGTCACTGCATATTGCTGCTGAGAAAAATCAAATGAACACACTCTTTGGAAATAACAAAATTTTATTACTTCACTTGGAGTACAGTCAGGAGAGTAGTACTAATACATCATTCTTAGAAAGATGTCAGGGAAAATGTGAAGCAAAACTGCAAAATGTTTGATTTAGGCACATTCAGCAGCACAGTGCTAAAATACTGTGATGAGTCACTATGTACCAGGCAGCAAATGACTCAAAGGAAAGAATGCTGCTTACCAGCTTTCCATCCCAAAGTTAAATACATTGAAATGCCGCTGATCCTGCCTGACTCTCCCAAACGCTGAAACCAGAGCCTAAAGAAACAGTTATAGACCACAGTCAGACTGTTTCTATTTGTACAGCTACCAATACTGGATGTGGTCATGCATGCATATATATATATATATATATATTTTACAAAAGCAAATCTATTTACATATAAGGCCTCACTAACAATATAAATGCTAATAAATATATAAAAATGGGTGTTGGCAGGCCACAGAAACTAGGTAGATTATCTGAAAGGCAGTTTTATTCTATATACCTAGGCCAGTAACAAGGAAAAAACAATTCAAATTTACCCAAAGCTTTATGCTTTTACTTTTAGTGGAGTTTTATCCCACATTCAACTTTTTAATCAAGTGGTATTGCATCAGAAATTGGTCCACTCCTCTTAGCATATATGTTTGCATTGGTGCGTGTGGGATTCTGCAGCAGGCAACAAGTTGGAACAAGATAGAGCATAACTGGGACTACTTTATCTTTCTTAGGGGAGTGGACTTAATTTCCTGGATGTACTGTCCTGCCTGTCATTTGACAAAGAAGTCCAAATTTGGCTACAGACTTGTAACAAACAGAGAATTCACTCTGCCCATTTTTAGAAGACTGGCATTAAGGCAAACAAAATGTTATATTATTTCTTTACCTTTGCTTGACAGAGTAATAAAGAGCAACCAATAGCTGTAAACCTCTTTAAGCCTGAAAGTTTAAAGAGAAAAAGAACAAGTGTGGCAGGAGGCCTTTAATCTCAGCTTCTCTAAGAAACATTTTCACTAATTCTTGGCATGTTTAAAATGAGCCTAATACCTACAGGAAACATCTGCTCAGTATTTTGCACCCAGCTGGTGCTAAAAGCACAAGAATAAGTAACCATAATACACGGGATCTTCTGTTGTATTGTCGAGTATAAGATAAAAAGCAGTGGGAGATAAAATCTGTTTTCTTCTTAAGAGAAGGTAGTGATTCAGTGTTCTCTGCCTTGGGCTTCTCCAACTGCAGAGTGAAGCCACCACTAGCTTCACTTAGCTGGGATGTAGCCAGGTGCTTCCTACTTAAGGGAATAATAGACAATCAGGAGACTCGTGACCCACTGATATATGCCCACGACCACTTGGATGAGAATGCCTAGACCAAGAGAGTTATCAGTGATAGCAAGGAGGAATATTTTTATTATGTGCTCTTTTGTTATTAATGAGGTATGGAACTACAACAAAACAACAGGATTACAACAACATTCCTGATCAAAAACCCAGTTAGAGCAATACCACCTATACTGACAACTTTCAGTTCAGGCTGCGGATGCACTGCACGTACACCACACCCCACTGATGTGTCCTTTAATAACCTTTCAAGGAAAGCCGCAAGTGCAATTAAGCCAGCTGTTTACATAAAACTGTACATGCAAAGATGCACCTCTGACTGTCAGATGTGAAGTCAAGAACACCTCCAAATCCCTTGTCAGCTATTTTGGAGACAGACGGTGACAACAGCGGTCACTGAGCAGTTTCGCAATAGTTCACGTGCGCATGGGTGTTGTCCGAGCTCCACAGCTGCTCGCTGACAGTTCCTGAGCGGCTCACCTCCCACAGCGCCAATTTTAGCACCTCAGAGACTGTTGTCTTGACTTGGGCCTGGAACTTTTTGCTAATCAGAACATAGAGGATTGGATTGAGGCAACTGTTGATGAAACCAAGCCCAGTGGAGAGGGGAATGCCATCCTGCAGTAAGTCATGCAAGTTTTCATCATGGTGAGCAGAAAGCTCCACAATGCTGAATATATGATATGGTGTCCAGCAAACAAAAAAAGCCACAACTACAGCTATGATGGTCCAGAAAAGCCTGCTGGAAGTCAAGACAGTTCTCCTCTTCACTTTGACAATCAACAATGAGTAGCAAATGACCATGGTCACTAGAGGAAAGAGGTAACCAAATGCAAGCCTCACCCAAATGAGAATGTGGTGTGTCAGCAAAATAAGTTCTCTGTCATGCACATGGAAGTTGTTATAGCAAATAGTGACATTGTTGAGAACTGTAACTGTGTCTCTGAAGTACAAGGCAGGACCACCAATAATTGCAGCTGACATCCAAATGATCCCACTAAGAATGAGGGTGTTCCTCACAGTCCGATACTTGTAGGAAAAGACTGGGTGGACTAAGCGGATGTAGCGGTCAAGGCTGATAAACGTCAGGAAGAAAACACTGGCAAACATATTGAGTAGTGCAATGAATGAGTTCATTTTGCAGAGCCACTTCCCAAAAGGCCAGTGGAAACCCATTGCCACGTATGTAATATAGAGGGGCAGGAAAAGAACAAAAATGAAATCTGCAATGGCCAGATTGAGGAACCAGAGTGTAGAAACAGATTTATCCCACTTAAAGCCCATAAACCAGATGACAATGGCATTACCTGGCACTCCCAGCAGAAATGCCACACTGTAAAAGGAAAGGGAAATCATATGGGCAATGCTGAGGGAGGACTGGGGTGATTCATCTTCCTCAGACAGGTCATAGAAATAAGAGTAGTTCTCAAAATCTTCAAATGTCATGTTGCACAGTTGATTTCTGAGGGAAAAGAGAAATGGAATAGTCAAAGGAGAAATGTTTTACTGCACTGCAAATAGTAACCTGCAATTCCTTTAAGTTCATGGTCATAAAAAAAAAAAAAACAAACCCAAAAACATTGACTTAGTTTCACATCTCTACCACTTTTTAGCTGTCAGTTGCTAGCACAAAGCTTGTGGAGTATTTTGATCACAGGCATTTGAAGAAATGCTCAAATCCAGACAACACTTGAAATCTTCAGGAAGTGTTTTCCTTGCATTTATTTCTTAACAGAAAGCTCTGTGCACACTATCACTGATAAAATTTCTGGGAGACCAGCTGCAAAGTTTTACTGAAGTGTGATTTTTCTATTCTTTTCTAGTCAGGTTTCATATTTTACTGCTCTGTTCCTATTTGAAGCAAGTTTTATGGATTATAGCTGACAGAAATCAGAGAAGCACCAGGCACCTATGCAGGCAAAAAAAGTGCAGTTAAAATGCCAGGAAGCCATTTTTTATAAAACTACTGCCCACACACAACCCCCCTTCAAATTCTAGTTAACAAAATCATAGACAGTGATTTCTCCAGCAACTGAGAGTTCATGGGTTTATTTCTGTTATGTATCGATATTTGTATCGAGAAATGCTGATTTTCAGACACATTCAATTAGATTTCATTAACCCAGCAAAGGATGTAGAAAAGGAAACATATAGAACATATTTTATGGACTATACATACAATTGTGGTATTCTTCCACTAGCGAGCTGAAAAACAGGTAATAGATGAAAGAAAATAAAGCTTCCCAGAAGAATAAGACACAATGTAAGAGCTATAGATGAAAATACGTCTCCTTTGGTTTGTTGGTTTTTTGTTTGTTTTTTTTAAAGACAGAATGACAGTCTCAGTTTTATTCTGTTGCAAAAGCTTGTGGAATTTACAACATGATTTTTCACATAGGAATTTTGTTCTGAAATTCCAAAGGAAGAGTGTGGGAGGGAGAAAAGTGGGGAAAAGGAAACTATAAACCAAAATAAAATCCTAGAAAAAAAAAAATTAATGGGAAAACAGATAGCAAACAGAGGTTGAACAGGAAAAAGCACTCAGAAGCTGTGTGTTCATTCCACAGTGCAGATAAAGCTGCAGCGCAGCACAGATGGCCACAGTCTGGCAAAAGTATCTGCCATGGTCAAAACAAATATTCTGCTGAGTTCTGTTATCATTTAAAGCTATATTGTCTGGCTGGACTCAGGTGCACTAAAAACCTGACCTAAGAGCAGGACAGACCAGCCCGTTAGCTGTGCTATGGATGAGCTCACTGGTGCACTTCTGAGCACCAGCTCAATTCAGAAACTGAAATTCAGCCCTCGCTTTTGGAACCCAGCCCTGCATTCCTGAAATTCCAGTGATTTTAGCATGCTAAGGACAACAGGAACAGAGCGTCCAGAGTACACTGCCTGTAGAAACACATCCTCAAACTTGTATTCATGTACATACCTTTCCTCCAAAGAAGTAGTTCACTTATTCTGAAAGGATTACTCACACAAGTGAAGCTACGCATGTGCACACACATTAGCAAGGTTAGATTTCTTATTCGGAGATTGATAGATGGTGGGGGGAAATGTTATGTAATTTTATATCTCTTGATAAAACAAAAAAAATGCAATAAGAGTCAATACAGCCTGTTCTGTCAAGGGGCTATGATAACATTTGCCCTTTGTAATTTACATCAGGCTGAAGGAATGCTATTTGGTTTGCTGTCCTGATAAAATGATACTTATTGGGCTGCATTTATGTAATTACATGTCTCCTGGGGGTAGAATCTGCATCAAATACCAGTACCACCCATCTGAGTCATTTTTTCAAACAGCTCAACAGCTGCTGAGAAATAGCATAAACAAGGAGCAGTACCACTAACATCTGGAACAACATTACATTTGGACAGTTTCAGAGGACAGTCAGGGTAATAATTGGATTTTTAAGTGTGTTTGCCTATATACAGAACTATACCTTCAAATCAAATTTATTCCATAAACAACAATAACAACAACAAAAATCCAATTTTTCAGACTCTTGCTGATTAACATCCTCTATTCCAGTCACTAATCCTTTTGCTTTTAAGTTTTTCAAGCACTAGTACAATGCAACAATACTTGGATACAGACATTTCCTCCCTATATGTGTAATCCTCAAATCTTTTTTTTTTTCCTAATGGTGCTAAAAAAATATAATGACAATAACAAGCATTTGCCTGCTGCCCAACAATGTTAACTTTATATTTAGAATTTCAAAGATGATGAATAGCAGGCAAAAGAAAACATACCTAAATAAATACCAAATATTAACCAAGCCTCCTATAGTTTAAAACTCCTCCATTGAAAGAACGCGCCTCTAGAATACAATAGTTTTTCCAAGCTTGTATTTTTCCTCATCTCTAACTCCTAGTCTTCCAGGTAGTAACTCTTCAGCAGTGGGGGCAAAAAAAACAGGAGGAACCTTGCTTACCATTGCTCCCAGTGTACAAATGTTGAAACTAGACTCTATGGCTCAGGCTCAGCAAACACTGATAAATTACATTTGCAAAGCCCAGAAATTGTTACCTCTGACATCCACACATATGAAGCACTTCTACAGCAGGACTCACAGTGCCAAGCTCTGCCCAGAAAAAGATAAGCAGTAAGGGATTTTCAGTGGAGCTATGCTGGTTTACATCAATAAGGACCCAGACCTTTTCTTCTGGGATAACAGTTAACCATCATTTCAGCAGGGATGGTTTTTTGTGTTCTTGAAACACACAGTATCAAATTAGTGAGTTTGGTTTTTATTTATTAATAAACTTTCAGAGTCAGAGCTGTCATGTAGTTCAAGTCTAGGTCTTGAATGTGAAGAAATCTAATTCTATTCCTTATTCTGTCACTGCTTTCCTGTATGATCTTTGACACATGGCCTTATTTCCAGGCCGGAAAGACTCTCATGAACCTGCCTGCAAACTGAGGCTCAGTAGAGAAAACAAGACTTTTAGCCAGCAGTTTCCACTTGGCTTTCAGGCCAGCTGCTAGAAAGTGTAAGGGAGGTTTGGTGCAGTTCACTGGCTCAGTCCCTCCTGGTCCAGGGTTGCAAAAAGGAGCCAGAGGGAAGAAAATATTTTTCAATAAACAGGAAAGTGTGGTTAGAGGCCTGGCAATCAGACCTGGGGGTGGACACAAGGTTACAGAACAGTGTTCTCTTGCATGTGGATGAATATAACCAAGTTTAGACTTCATCCTGTCTTTTTTTGTTTTGTTTTAATAGTAAATAGTCTGTGTAAAGAGTATGCTCACCAGTTGTTTGACTGGAGTTTGTTCCTGTTTGCTGAGGTCACAAGCAGCTCTGAAAACTGAGCCTCTTTGATTCAGTTGCTTAATTATGAATATAGTTGTTTAATTTAAAGCAAATAGGTTTCAGAATGTTTGACCAGGAGGTTTCATTTCCTGTCCCCTTCTGTAAAACAAAAGTTAATTACTAAACATATTCATAGGAATATCACAGGCTGGCACTCGCTGCTAGTACGTTTTAGATCCTAGGACAGAAAAAAGAATTACAGCCTATTAGGAAATATTTCTAAAATTCAAAGCCACAGAACTGCTGGGAAGAAACTTCACCACGTGCTACATGGATTGCCTTTTTCTGAATTTCATCAGGGAATTACAGAATCAGATCTCAATTGACATATTCATAACTTTTTACTACAAGTACCTAGAGTTCATTTTCTCTGGCAACATTACAGTATTTCATAAAGTTTAACCATAATGACAACTTGGACAAATTATTTGATCTGCTTAAAACAGAACAGCTTTTGTCACACTAAGAATGGCCTTACAATTATGACATGGGACCAATACTTTGGACTCTATTCATAGCTATGCCATGTGCATCCTGTTTGACCAGGGGAAGTCGTTTGACCTCTCCACACCTCAGCCCTGAGGTCAGTGCAATGGCTTTGGAATGAAATGACATTGGGTTTTCAGTTTAAAATAGAAGAAAACAAACAAAACAGCTGCAATTTCCACTCACTTCACTTGATGCAGAGTCTTCCTGGGGGTTCAAAGTTCTCTGGGCACCAAGCAAGTTAGGGTCCAACTTAATTACCCTGGTAGTTTATGCTACATGTTTGGGCTACAACCCACACACCCTCTCTCTCACATTTGGTCCTCATTACTTGAGAAATTTACTGAGAGGTCCAAGGGAAGAGCTTATTCATTGTCTATGTTAGTTGAAAGTCAACGCAAATATTTGAATGGTAGTCCCAAAATCTATTTGTTCAGTGTGGTAAACAGTGCTCAGAGCCTCTGGCCAGCAAAACTGATTTCAGAGGTCACAATAATGGGTTCTGACTTAATAGGAAAATTGCGGTTTGCGGAGTTGGCTGCCTCAACAGTTAACTTCATAGAGGGAATATGTTACACAAACCCTCCTTTTAATGTCTTTATAAATAATTCTGAGCATATCACATTCCACATGTATGATCTATGGCTAAATGAAAGCTTATTTGATTGATTCACTTCAACTTCTGTCATTTGCAAGAGTTAGATGTTGAAGAACAACTAGTTTCTCAAAAGGTCACCTAAAGCCTGCTTGTCATACTGTGTCTCAGCAAGTTTGTCTGGATATTGAATTCATTTGAAAGCCCTCAAAAAATTTCTTGGAACTTTTGAGGTGCTAAATTTTGAATTTATCTAGCTTCAAAAACATAAACATGAAATTTACCCAGTAGGTTAGCTGTAAAGTTCAAAACAGAGAAGGCTGAGCAAGTTTCTTAGAGGTATATACATTTTTCTGGTAAGTATTTTACAAAGACATAAGAAAAGATCCTAAAACTGACCAAGAATACTGATGAGATGATAAACTGTCATATACTCATATTTCTCCCTCAAAAGAACAAAGCCAAGATGACCGCCTGCCTCCATGTAGAAACATTCCTATAATGGGAAGTGCCTGATACACCCATACTAGAAAATTAAATCTTAGCTAT